TGAAAACATTTACGATTGTTCATTATCAACTTGCAACTGAGTGAAAACAACAACAAAAACTTCCTTAGTGACAGCCAATTGGTCATTTTCTTTTTAAATTAAAAATATCTTGTGATCTGTTTCTGTTCACTGAATCCCCAAAATAAAAAAAAATTAATTTTGCAGGCCCTCTTTAATCGAGCCTGTTCATGGACAGCTTTGTGAAGTGCAATCTATTGTCCTACCCCTTAGCATTGGTTTGTCAGGACATACAGGAGCTGGCCAGGCGCTTTGGTGTAGATATGGAGCAGTGCCGCAGCCACTGGCACCAGGTACGTGCCAGTCTAGAGGGGACTGATCAGTCAGCTGACCAGACCATGACCTGGATTACTGGCAACCTTTCTACCAGTAATTCAGCTCTTTACAGAATTGCTGCTGTGGGTCTCCTCCTCCCAACCTCTACTGCAGGTAAGCATTATTATATTCATTCATTCTTGAACATAAATGAAATTCCAATGACAGTTGCAGATGTGTAACACTTTGCTAGAAGTTTTTAAACAGTTCAAATATAAATTATTTTACTTAGTTAAGTTTAAACAGGCTGGAAGTTTTAAATTTTCAAAAATTCACAGCAAACAAACAATATAAATAAAAGACATGATGTTAACATAAAATATTTAATGATTACTTTCATTCATTAATTTCAGATTGTGAGCAAGGATTCAGCTGCCTGAAGAGAGTTAAGACTGAAAACAGGAATTGTCTCTCTGTTAAAGTTCTAAACTATCTTCTTGCCGTCTCCCTTCAAGGACCCCCATTAGAATCTTTCAACTTTGAGAAGGCAGTCAAGGCATGGAATGACAACAAACCTAGAAGACAGGCCCACTTTTAATGATGTTAATGAAAAAAAACAACAACTGAAATATACTCATTTAAATGGGACACACACATGCATATAAATGTTGATTATATGTTGTGAACTTGTGTTTATATATAATTGTTTATTTATTTGAATTGTTGGAAATGGAAAAAGCAAATAATAAAAATTAAGAAAATGTTTATCAAGTGAAAAGCTTTCATAATTTGTTTTAAAACAGCCCACAGCAGTATCTTGACACCTAAAATGGCAAAAATTTTCGACACGCGGTACGGGGGTCAAGACCCCCTCCCACACCCACCCCCGTCTAATTCCAAAAATGTAGCGCTTAAAAAAAATCCTGGGGAATTCCCTGCATTGTGTTACAGTAAATATAATCGATAAACGTATTATATAATGAATGTATCATATAACATGTGTTACAGTAAATGTAACCGATAAACGTATTATATAATGAATGTATAATATAACATGTGTTACAGTAAATATAACCGATAAACGTATTATATAATGAATGTATAATATAACATGTGTTACAGTAAATATAACCGATAAACGTATTATATAATGAATGTATAATATAACATGTGTTATAGTAAATATAACCGATAAACGTATTATATAATGAATGTATAATATAACATGTGTTACAGTAAATATAACCGATAAACGTATTATATAATGAATGTATAATATAACATGTGTTATAGTAAAAATAACCGATAAACGTATTATATAATGAATGTATAATATAACATGTGTTACAGTAAATATAACCGATAAACGTATTATATAATGAATGTATTATATAACATGTGTTACAGTAAATATAACCGATAAACGTATTATATAATGAATGTATAATATAACATGTGTTACAGTAAATATAACCGATAAACGTATTATATAATGAATGTATAATATAACATGTGTTACAGTAAAGATAACCGATAAACGTATTATATAATGAATGTATAATATAACATGTGTTATAGTAAAAATAACCGATAAACGTATTATATAATGAATGTATAATATAACATGTGTTACAGTAAATATAACCGATAAACGTATTATATAATGAATGTATAATATAACATGTGTTACAGTAAAGATAACCGATAAACGTATTATATAATGAATGTATAATATAACATGTGTTACAGTAAAAATAACCGATAAACGTATTATATAATGAATGTATAATATAACATGTGTTACAGTAAAAATAACCGATAAACGTATTATATAATGAATGTATAATATAACATGTGTTACAGTAAAAATTACCGATAAACGTATTATATAATGAATGTATAATATAACATGTGTTACAGTAAAAATAACCGATAAACGTATTATATAATGAATGTATAATATAACATGTGTTACAGTAAATATAACCGATAAACGTATTATATAATGAATGTATAATATATCATGTGTTACAGTAAATATAACCGATAAACGTATTATATAATGAATGTATAATATAACATGTGTTACAGTAAATATAATCGATAAACGTATTATATAATGAATGTATAATATAACATGTGTTACAGTAAATGTAACCGATAAACGTATTATATAATGAATGTATAATATAACATGTGTTACAGTAAATATAATCGATAAACGTATTATATAATGAATGTATAATATAACATGTGTTACAGTAAATGTAACCGATAAACGTATTATATAATGAATGTATAATATATCATGTGTTACAGTAAATGTAACCGATAAACGTATTATATAATGAATGTATAATATAACATGTGTTACAGTAAATATAATCGGATAAACGTATTATATAATGAATGTATAATATAACATGTGTTACAGTAAATGTAACCGATAAACGTATTATATAATGAATGTATAATATAACATGTGTTACAGTAAATATAATCGATAAACGTATTATATAATGAATGTATAATATATCATGTGTTACAGTAAATATAGCCGATAAACGTATTATATAATGAATGTATAATATAACATGTGTTACAGTAAATATAACCGATAAACGTATTATAAATTATAATGAATGTATAATATAACATGTGTTACAGTAAATATAACCGATAAACGTAGTATGATATGAATGTATAATATAACATGTGTTACAGTAAATATAACCGATAAACGTATTATAAATTATAATGAATGTATAATATAACATGTGTTACAGTAAAAATAACCGATAAACGTATTATATAATGAATGTATAATATAACATGTGTTACAGTAAAAATAACCGATAAACGTATTATATAATGAATGTATAATATAACATGTGTTATAGTAAATATAACCGATAAACGTATTATATAATGAATGTATAATATAACATGTGTTACAGTAAATATAATCGATAAACGTATTATATAATGAATGTATAATATAACATGTGTTACAGTAAATGTAACCGATAAACGTATTATATAATGAATGTATAATATAACATGTGTTACAGTAAATATAATCGATAAACGTATTATATAATGAATGTATAATATAACATGTGTTACAGTAAATGTAACCGATAAACGTATTATATAATGAATGTATAATATAACATGTGTTACAGTAAATATAACCGATAAACGTATTATAAATTATAATGAATGTATAATATAACATGTGTTACAGTAAATATAACCGATAAACGTAGTATGATATGAATGTATAATATAACATGTGTTACAGTAAATATAACCGATAAACGTATTATAAATTATAATGAATGTATAATATAACATGTGTTACAGTAAAAATAACCGATAAACGTATTATATAATGAATGTATAATATAACATGTGTTACAGTAAAAATAACCGATAAACGTATTATATAATGAATGTATAATATAACATGTGTTATAGTAAATATAACCGATAAACGTATTATATAATGAATGTATTATATAACATGTGTTACAGTAAATATAACCGATAAACGTAGTATGATATGAATGTATAATATAACATGTGTTACAGTAAATATAACCGATAAACGTATTATATAATGAATGTATAATATAACATGTGTTACAGTAAATATAACCGATAAACGTATTATATAATGAATGTATAATATAACATGTGTTACAGTAAATATAACCGATAAACGTAGTATGATATGAATGTATAATATAACATGTGTTACAGTAAATATAACCGATAAACGTATTATATAATGAATGTATAATATAACATGTGTTACAGTAAAAATAACCAATAAACGTAGTATGATATGAATATATAATATGACATGTGTTACAGTAAATTATATGCATTACCGTGAAAATAACCGATATATGTATTGATAAACATATTTATTACATTCTTTTCGGTGGTTTATAGAAATATATCAGTGATATAAAACTGGTAATTTCACTGTTTGAAACAGTGAAATTACCACTTTGATAATTTCACTGTTTTGAATTTAAGCCCCTTACGTTGTTTCAGTGAAATACCAGCGTGCACAGTACCGGGTACCAACTTAATGACGTGACGTCGTAAATGACGTCACGTTGTATTATTATTTGGCGCGCTTTTCATTCAGTATTAGGTTTAATGTCTTTTTAAAACGTTTCTTTGCATATAATAATCACCGCATACTAGTATATAACATACTACTTCTGATATAATAAGCATTAACAATAAATTTTGCACATTTTCTAGGGTGAGTTTGAACCAAGAAAACAAGTTTGTCTTTGTTTGATTTGCGAATAAATTCATCACAGTTTAAAATGTTTCCAAATATAACAGATCTTGTGTTACTATAAAGAGCACATTCAACAAGAAAGTGAGTCTCGTCTTCAACTAGTCCGCTATTGCACAACTTACACAGTCTTTGTTCAGGGGATTCACCCACATACCGTCCGGTTTCAACCCTAAGTGGAAGTATTCCGGTTCTGAATTGAGCAAATAAAGCCCGTTCATTTCTTTTTAAGTTCAACTTAACATATTCCTCACAAGTAAACTCAGTTTTAAATGTTCTATATGTTCTCAACTTTGATACTCGTTCGTAATCTCTAGACCAAAGGGTTGAATAAAACTGGTTCATGTTTTCTTTGGCTAAGTCCATTGAGACGGCGAGTTTCCTATTGTAATACTCCATTAGGTGAAGTCTAGACATAACGGTTTTAATATCACTGCACCAGTTATTGTTATTTGGCGAGCTGTAATCTCTATTGAATGCACGCTTGGTTAGTCTATTCTCATCAAGTTTTACCAGCCTATTCCAATACCTGATCATTGCGAGCCATCTACGGTAAATGCTGGGTAGCCATCCAATTTCACCGAGTAACGCTAATATAGGTGTAAATCGATGTACACCTAAAAAGTACCTTATCGCCCTGTGGTGAATATTTTCCGCTGATTGGTAGTGTTTATATCCCCAAATGGAAGCACAGTAATCCGATATTGGTATCACACAGGAATTGTATAGTTTTTCGTAAGTTTTAAATCCAGTTTGTTTCAGATTATGAATTTTATTTATAATAGATCCGAGAGCTCTCCCGGCACTTTTTGAAAGTATTTCACAATGAAAACTATAGTCGCGTTTCTCATGCATGATAACACCGAGATACTTATATTTGTCTACAATTTCCAGCACATTTAATCCAATTTTAAATTCATATTCTGTCCGTTCTGTGCGGCCTTTTCGAAAGTGTACGACTTTAGACTTTTCTGTGTTTACGAGAACCCGCCATCGTTTGCACCAGTCATGCATTTGGTTAAGCATTATCTGTAGATCTGCTTCCGACTTTGCGATAAGGACTATATCGTCGGCATATAGCAACATTGAGACCGAAGTGTCATCGATTTTGACCCCAAGGTCAAGGTTGTTGATTTCGGTCACAAGGTCATTCACGAAGACCGAGAAGAGCGTCGGTGAGAGGTTGTCTCCCTGTTTTACCCCGTTGTCACACTGGAACCACTCCGTTAATCGTCCATTAATACGCACACAATAACTGCTACAATATTTAATTTGGCACGTGTAACTGTGTGTAAATAACGACAGTCGTCAAATATTACATGCATTTCTGCAAGAATAACCGATAAATGTATCATACCACATGTGTTGCAGTGAAAACAGCCGATAAATGTTCAATATTACATGTGTAACTGTAAAAGTAAGCGATAAACAATTATTATTATTGTAAGTGTTATGTGAACGTAACCGATAAACATATTTCTTGTGGTTCTATGAAATTTAGCGATAAACATATATTATCATATGATTGTTATACTGTGAAATTAAGCAATATGGTACTATTTTTTGTTATTTATAAAATGAACATCACTAGAATGTTTGGACTTATAGATAAACAAAAAAATAGGTAACTGAGAGTTTGCAGCTTTAATATATGTGATATATAAATTGACGGAGGCACGCCTACCAGGATGTTACTCATTATAACTTTTTTATTACACATACCCGGAAGGCAAAAATCATGATCCGGATCATTAATGAACGGTAACTTAAAATTTGTCAACGCATCAATAGATAACATGAATAGGTCGGTAATAAAAGACTCCCTCATACCAGTTATATATAATTTAAATGAACATAAAATTAACAACACTATCTGTTTATGAGTCTGCATATCCTTAAACTATAAATTTTATCCATTTTCTAAGAATGTGGGGATGTATAAATGATATATCTCCAATCATCTAATACATATGTATATAAAATAGTATCACCATTTGTCAAGTGTGAATTTTCTATGATCTATGTAGAAATAATATAATGATTTTCCATGTTTGCATGTTTGAATAAATAATATTTTATAGTGTGCATGTATGTAAAATAATATCAACATTTGATCAAATGTTATTGTCCCACTGAACATAAATAATTTTTTTTTTTTTTTTTTTTGCATGATATCTAAATTTAACCCATTTTTTTACTGCATGAGCAGTTTGTGAAAAATGGCTGTTTTCATTGAAAAGCCTCCTGTTACAAGTTCAAATTGCTATGAAGCTATAAAAAAGGCTTCAATACAGTTCAAAATTGGCACAAATGTTGACTGGAACTTAAACTTCCTGTTACCATGGCAACGAGGGGACATCTCAAAACTGCCAAATATCACTATTTTCCGCTGATTTTTCCCCATCAGAACTGATTTCAAAGTGCTGCAACTTCTTAATGGATTGAGATAGAGTCAAAGGCTTTCCAGCGTTGGTTACACGTTACCTTCTGATCGATCTAAGGCCAATTTTAGCCATCTTTCAAGTCCAAAATCTTCTGAGTGATGAGGGGGGCTGCTGCCCCCCTTCAAACCCCCTAGCAGAAGGGGTCACACCCCCTCTAACACTCCCCTGATGTATCTTCTTGACAAGGTATGGCGCTTTTTAACAACCTTTTTCAAACGAAAACAGTCTAAATAGGGCATTTTTGCACCATTTGAGGCGGGCGAAAGTCGTGAAAAGACGTCTATATGAAGTAATGGGTTAAACATTAAAATTTTTGCACATGGGCAGGAGGAACGACGTTGATATTCACCGAGTTCATTTTGTATATTTCAAAAAGCCAGAGTGTCACTGTATCTGAATGAGAGACAATCCGTTGCTCGTAACAGATTGTGTTTTACTTATGATTATCTCCCTTGGTTTATTTTCACCAGATACTAAAATTTTATAGTAGACACGTCGTAGAAAATATATTCTTAAGGTATTATAAATTGTAGAATCTATAGAATACAATATATTAATATATATTATTTAATGTTAAAAAATCGGTTATACGGTTAAATACAGACATACACATAATTTTATTTGAAACAGCAGAGATTTGACCTTGAAAAATAACTAAATGTGCGTATGCATATAAAAAAAGATGATTAATCTGGATGCGATTTATAATTGAACGTGTATATGCGTGTATGCTATGGTATAATTTAAATTTCACATTAACTTTAAATGAACTCCACGAAGGTCCAAGAGCTCGGAAACATAACATTTGAATTTCTTGCATTATTATAAAATATACTCAGAAATAAATTGACAAATCACTCTGATTTGAGTGAAAAGCGTTGCAACGCTTTTCAGTTTTGGGTCATCTTTCACAATTAAAATATTACTCTGGAAAAACGGGGAGAGTGAATGATCTAAAATTTTACACACAAGTTATTGGTCTAGACAGGACATTAATATGGTAAAATTATTTCTATTCCAGTCATGTAGAAAAAAATGCGAGGCGTTTTGTTCGAAACCTCATGAAAAATAGTCTAAACATGTAGCATAAAATGCTTTAAAACGGATGAATTGTTCCAGATAGATATTAAAGTTTAAAGGTCGGTGACATTACAGGTCAGTGATATCAAACCTCCTGTAAACTCATGTAAAGACAGGGTTTGTTAACGCATCTCAAAAAGAAAATACATTATAATATTGCAAAAAGAATCGGCATTTATTCGAGATCGGCCTGATGACAAAACTCTAGTTACAGTTCCGATAGCTTTTCGTGCTTTGGGGTTTTTTTTTGTATTCTGTTTTATATTTACGTTTGCGTATTTATAACAATTGCATGTGACAGATTGTGCGGATTTATGCAGCACATAACAGAGTGGACTACTTTCTGTGTCTATGAGCGCAAGAAAACTGCAAAATGAATATAATTGAATAAACACTTAAATTAAAACATAAAACAAGTTTTATTTTGGATTGTATAATTAAATAAAACAGGACGCTTAGCAATTCGTGCGTACAATAGTAGGCCGACCTCGTTATCAGTACTTCCGTTATTGAATATTCACGACCTTGTAGTTAAAATATGTTGCTCGGGAAAACTATAGTTAAATTAGGACCTATGTCCAGTGGGGCTCTATTTCGGAGAAATTTTACTTATGGACCTCCGCTCAATCGTATCTCATTAAAGGTATACACTACTTTTCTTTTTGGACGCTTATTAATTATTAAAAGCAGAATAGCTGATATATAATTGATTAATCGCGGCAACAGATCTGTAGCATTGTAAATTATTTTAATTAGAGTTATTAACACAATATTTATTTTCTTAATATAATGGTGAAGTGTAGTTATAGTTTTGACTGATTAGTATTATCAATAAAACACTACGATTTTTGTTCGCAAACGATATATACATTGTGCAGACCTGCCTATTGCTTATCAGTTTCATCGAGGAAAATCTTTATTCATGTGCATGCTTTTTTTTTAAGTAGAGATTATTTAATTCAAAAAGGGAAAAAAAAGAACACTGGCTTTATTAAATATTTTTAAGATGTTTTATTTTCATTTAATCATAGTTGTTTTTTTATAGATTAACTATTTTCAAGGTCACTAGACATTAATGTCTGTACGTTTACTATAAATAGATGCTTATGTTAAAGTTTTGTTCCATTTTTTCGCGGAAAATATGCAACACATATTTGATGCATAATTTTTTTTGTGAAAACATCTTATAATTGCATTATTAATTGGTATATATTAAAAATCGGTCACTGATACAATTCGCGCGTCTGGCCTTGGACTTGTTCATGAACCGCGTCACGTAGGCCTATAGCAGGTATATTTGATAACGCTGGGGACTATAAATAGAAGTTTCGTCTGCACTTTAGTGTACTATAGCGTGATTTTTGTTGTTGTTTATCTTTTGGTTTAAAAGACATTACAAATGCAAACAAACCATGCAATGAACTTATTTCATATCGAACAGTTTATCCGTGCATTGTCAGATCACTTTGTTTTGTTCAAATGAACATGAAAGAAACTAAATGTTATTAACAATGAAAGAGTTTTTTTTCTGATTAATCCTCCGGGTATCTAAATGTATATCAAGAACACGTTTATGTACTGGTGATGCAATATATACATGTATGTTATTTTAAAACATGTATTAGCCGTATGTTCTGTTTATACATGCGTTGCTTTTTTCCATTAAGGTGTTGCTATTTTATTATTTAGTTATTATTATTTTATTATTTTTATCACTCATGAAACATTTATTTTTACCACAAATGATTATAAATCCTGTATTTATAGGGGAAAAAAAACTTAAATTTTCTGTTTATTTGATATTTTTTCTCATTTTTGACCTTACTATTAAATTGATAGACTTCTAAATTTTGTGCATATTCACCAGCTAAAAGTTCATATTTGTATAACATAATACTTGTGAAAAACAAATCAAATTTATTTGCAGCATTAATGTAAAAGGTCAGTAAAATAAAGATAGGTAATGCTAAATTTTATTTTTGATAAGACGCTGTACAGAATATTGAAGAGCGTTCTTGTATGTTTTCAGGAAAAGATAGCTTTATTTAGTGGTGCTATGGTTATTATCGCAGGACCTATGTTGTGGATTATGGGAAGTTTAAAGAGGTACCAAGGAAAAGAAGAATAGACAATGGCTAGATAGTATTCAATAGTGACAAGAAAAAATGTGTGTTATAAAAACAGCAAGAGTGTGTGCTGTTAACAGAGAATTATAAAAACAGCAAAAACGATGTAAAATTATGCCGAGATATTATTTGAATTTCCAATCAATATTTTATCAGTCATATTTGCAACTTATTAAATCTTTTATTGACAAATATTTGATTTATTTTTATTCATTTATTTGCAAAATACAGTACATCAAAAACTGGCGTCGCTATTTCGTTAAAATAGATGAAAAGTATCATACATTTTTAGCTTTGATATATTGTGACTAAGTCTGGTGTAATGGATAGGAAGTAAAACATAGATTATAAACAAGTGTTTAGATCCATGAAACAGGACATACTGTAATTAACGTTGAAATTAACTAATTACATGTAATAATAAAACTATTTGGAAATTTATTTTGAAAAAAAAAACACCAAAAAAAAAGGAGTGTATTTAGAGTTGTTTGATTTGAATGATACAGATGTATAATTATGATACAAACAATTCCCTAAGAAAGTGCGTAATGGATTTTAAATTTGAGTTTAAACGGTAGCGCAGGCTGACCTGGCTCTACACTGGTAGCTTCCGGTTCCAGCACTTACCGAACAGTTCACTATATATAATAGCCCATACAATATAGAACTGTCGGCTGTTTGTCTGTCCGTTGCAAATCATGTCCGGACTACTCCTCAAAAACTGCTGGTGCAATTCCATCCAAACATTACAGGAATTATCAGTACCAAGTTTAGTTGTGCATATCGTCAGCATTTTCCAGCGCAATGGTTTTTGTCAAAGTAATGACTCTATTTGATTTTTAAAGTTTGTCCAAACTGCCTTTCTTATACTTCTAAGACAATTTTAATGAAACTTTACAGAATTGATCGGTACCATAAGTACTTGAGCATAACGGGCTTTTCGATTGAATGATTTTTGGCCGAGCTTGGGTTTTTGAACTAGAATGCGTTTTGGCTCTGAAATGATATTTGTGTCGTCTGCTACACAGTTGCTGGTACATGCTATAATGTAGCCACGACTTATAGTGATCACTTCTTCGCCGTCTTTGTATATGTCTGTCTGTTTGTCTGTCACAAAACTTGTCTTATAAAACTTGTCTTAACTACACCTCAAAACTGTTGGTGCAATTTCATCCACACTGCACAATAATAATCAGTATCAAGTCTAATTGTGCATATCGTTGGCATTTTCCAGTTCCATTATTTTTTGTCAGAGTTATAGCCCTTTAATGATATTATTTTTACTATTTGTCTCATACTACTAATGCAAAATGAAATGTTACGTGTGTGTTTGGTTTGTTTTCCCTCGCCTCGGAATGAACCATATGTGCGAGCATTAAAATGTTACAGGTTTGATCTGGTAGGGGATTGATCGGTACCTCAAGTACTTGTGCGTATTTAACGAGTTTTTCGTTTGAATGATTTAGGCTAAGCTATGGTCCTTAAATGGCATTTTGGTCTGTTAATGAATTCTGTGTCGCCTTCAACACATTAGCTGCAACATGCTGCAAAGTAGCCTCGACATTCAGGAAACAAGCTGTCCAATCATCCGTCAATACAACTGCTTAGCTGGCTATGTAATCACTGATCACTCTTGTATATGTACCAATGTTTTTAGTTTTGACCTCGCCATCACCTTGAACTTAACAAATAACTTTAGTTCTCTTGTCTTATTTTACAAAACAAATTACCCGTTGTTAGTCCGAAGATTTTATCTTAACGAACCTGTTAAGGTATTTTAAGTTGGTTCATTAAAAAGACATCGATATTTGATTGATAACTAATTCTATACATTCGCAATTTAAAGTTTAAAAATTAGACTACGAACATAGAGGTGTTTTATTAGTTTTTTTATAGCTCAGGAATTGCAGAAAAAAGGTAAATCTAACGAACTAACTTGATTCAACTTGAAAATCTCAAGTCATGGGATATTTATGATTTGTGGTGAATATCAAACACAAAATTAATGTGTATTGAGGTTGTATTCGGACCGTCCGTCTGTACATACATACCTCGTGCGGCATAACTTATGTTGATCATGTGTAATGTTAGAGCAATATTCAAAACTACATCTAGTAGTTTGTACGTTTCTGAAATAAAGTGTCATCAAAAGATATAATTACAACACAGGTTCATATACATAAACTTAAATAAAACTTAATGACAATGCATGTTAACCAGCTTATATAATTAAAGTTTTGGCAATTTAATCCTGGTAGGATTTTAAACCGTTGCAATGTTCTATTTTGCAAAGACCAATTTTACAATGCGCAATAAAAAGCCATATATTCATACATTATAATACCTATTCTGGAACTTGTTGTTGTTTTTTTTTGAATGTGTAGGTAATGAACGGAAACTGATGATGACAATACGGGTAAAAAACTACATAAAATGGCTGGGGCATTAAAATAAAGGATTTGTTACAGTCATGGCGGCGTTCCCGTTTCCGTTGCTGTCCCCAAACTTTAACCTGGATACTAACTTATTAAGTTTTTTTGAACTTATTTTGGTAATGTTTTTACTCATTTTAAATAACATGGTGTAAGAATACTATTTAATATTCATTCGGATTAAAAATGTTGTCATTTCAATGCCGTAATTAAATATAATACAAAATGACAAGACAGCGTTTTTAAATTGGTTCATATCCGTGTAGACAATTTTGCAAGCACTTTGCTGTTTGCATTAAAATATATACTGCAAAAATGAAAAAAAAATAAATACATCTTTTTTATGAGAAGATTATTTTTTTCTGAACGTCAGGCCTAATGCAACATGAAGCTAAAAGGGTTAAAGTGTGTTTGCACAAGAAAATCTCATACGGATAGCAACTATATATAACAGTGTGACGTAGAGCATACACAAGCTGAATTACATGTAAAAATTCACATACGAATTTAGTGTTTTCCGTTTAAAACCGTAATTTATGAACACTATTTGATGACATTTAGAAAGGTTAATGAAATTGTAGAATGCTTGGTTTTTAGGCTGACAGCAAAATAATTTTTACATATTTATTAAATGCAGCTTTAAAGCTAGTGTGACAGAGCCATATACTCCATATTAATTCTGGTAAACTACACGACAGAACCGATTCAGGATTGAATACATTTTTGTATTTAAATGAATGCTATAATGTATTCATAATTGAGAGGTCAATAAAATCAGACTACATGTATATATCTCCAGCACATATGGAGCTCGTATAATTTTGACAATTCCTTCGTTTTTAGCCAAATATCAATACATTGTCAAAAAGGGTTTGTTTGAATGTTAACTCAGTGGTATGATTTTGTAAAATATCTGTATTTTGAATCCATTTAGTGACATTTTCTTCATACACATTGCATGTTTTGGAAACACCAGAAACCACGAAGGGAAAACTATTTCAACAAAGACTGCAAAAAAGCTAAAACAAAACTGGGTATTATATGGAGGAAAGACAAGGGTAGAATCACATTTCGATTTTCTTTAAAAACTAAACCCTGTGATTGACCTATTTTCTCTTTCACAGCACATCTGGATCAGTGGAAATTCGCATATACTTATTACCGATGCTCAATTTTGAGATCCATATGGGGTTCCATTCCCCGTAATATTGTACCATTAGCATTCTCACTTGGCACTTAAATTAGTTGGTATTTATAAAATGATGGTGATGTGTCAAGTTAATAAATTATTAATGTCAATGGTGCAATGGTGTAATGTTAATATTAAAATGAAAATTCAATTTATATGATAGCACTGTTCCGACTTTAAGTATACATTTTTTGATCATTAGTATAACTGCTGGAGACACAGACATAAAAACTTTTGTAAGTTAATTTTACTTCCTCCATACAAACAAAATAGGTATAAACAAGAAAGATAACATGTGTTAAGATGAATAACTACTTTATTCATAAAATAAATATAGATTAATATTTACATAAGATTTAATAATATAGATATAACAAGAGAGGCCATGATGGAAGGGTTTTCTCATTGCTCACCTGTGTACAATACTAATATATATACTTTTTGTGTAATGTTCAGTAGAATACAAGCAATAAAACTACATGTTTATACTGACTGTTCTTTTTATCGCTAAGCAAGTGATCTAGTCCATTAAGGTCACGTATTCTAACCTGACCACCCAATCATCAACTGTGATATCATTTAAGTATAAAACATTCAGACAAAGTTGTATTAATATCCAATTCTAAGTATGACTTCTACACTGTTTACAAAGCTTTCTTGTGCTTCAACCTGCTGTCCCGAGTTTGACATACAGAAAAATCTACAATCAACCATCAATGTTTGAATTTGACCACAGGGTCTTCAGAACCAACTTTCAATATGATAAGAAAAAATGCAGTCAAAATTTTTCTTTAATTTGACCTAGTAGTGACCTAGCTATTTAAATCCAGATGACCCATTTTAAAAGTCTCCAACAAATCATAAAGACACATATTCTGATAAAGTTTCATAAGGATCAAATCAGAAGCCAGTGTAAACAAGCTAAATTGTACACATGTACACATTTTCTCACTTTAAAAAGCAAGACCAACATCATGGCTTTTTATACAACAATGCCAATACCAGTAACTATTAAACTATGTAATGTTGTGTGATATTACTTATATTACACATAACATAGATAACAAATATCATATGATAACAAGAGCTGTCGGTAGGACAGCAACGCTCGACTATTCTTAGTGCTTGATAGTAAAAAAAATGCTTGATACAGTTACCTCCTCCTGTTTACAGGTTGGGGTCATGATGGTGAACAAGTGTGCAAAGTTTCAAAGCCATATGTCTATGGACTTTGAAAATATTTGAACTATTACAAAAACTTTAACGTAAATTCTAAGTAGAAAAAGGGGCATAATTCTGTCAAAATGCTTGATAGAGTTACCTTCTCCTGTCTACAGGTTGGGGTCATGATGGTGAACAAGTGTGCAAAGTTTCAAAGCCATATGTCTATGGACTTTGAAAATATTTGAATTATTACAAATACTTTAACGTAAATTCTAAGTCGAAAAAGGGGCATAATTCTGTCAAAATGCTTGATAGAGTTACCTTCTCCTGTCTACAGGTTGGGTCATGATGGTGAACAAGTGTGCAAAGTTTCAAAGCCATATGTCAATCGACTTTGAAAATATTTG